GATTCGTGACTCTGTGTTACCTAGTCTTGGGAGGGTGTTATGATTATTGCCGTGTAGGCTTAATATGCTTTTATTTCGATATTCATATTAAACTCTGTTTAAGTTATCATTGTTAAACTGGATTAATTGTAGTAAGTACTCGACTTACCTAGTTTTAGAGACTAGGTACCTTCACGATGCCTAAGACAGGATTTGGGTCGTGACAAATACCTCAATTAGGACAAATCAACACTCAAAAATAGCTTTTCCTTTAAAATATGCCTCTGCACCACTCAAATCTGACCAAAAACAACTTAAAATCATCAAACAATGCAAGCGAAACCAATTCCAATAATTAAAGTTCAGATCTTTACACAATTCCCAAAAGTCAACCCCATACCCCTCGGGTCAAAACCCGAGTCTAAGAGTAGATCTCGGCTCCCATAACCCCATGAGTCCATATATGTGTTTTGTTTTCAAATCCGAGTCCAATTCGACCCTCAAATCTCAAATTTTTATTTTTCAAAACATAGTCAAAACTTCCCAAAAATTCTCTTCAAATTCCTTAGATTAGATGTTAAATATCATAAACAATCATGTAATATAATTGAAATTGGATCAAAATAACTTACCCAATAGTTGTATATGAAAATTTCTCCTCAAAAGTCTAGGGTTCTAAAATATTATAAATGAAGCTAAGTCCCAAAATGCCATTGTTTTGTTCAACTGCAGAAGTCGCAAATGTGACCTTGCGAACACTCGCAAATACAGAAAACACCTCACAAATGTAGCGCCTGACAACCCAGGGAAATGTCGCAAATGAGACACTGACTTCGCTTTTGTGACGTCGGTCCCTTTCACAAATGCGGCCAAATGATCGCAATTGTGACCTGCTCTGCCCAACCCCTTTCTTCGCAATTGCAAGTAAGACATCACATTTGCGATACCTGAGCCCTTGCTGCCTACTTCATAATTGCGATGCTGGTTCTTGCAATTGCGATAACTACAGGACCAACATACCAGCAACCAGAAACAAGTTCAAACCAATCCGAAACACGCCCAAAACTTACCCGAGCTCTCAGGGCTCTGCACCATACATCTACACAAGTCTAAGAACATCATACAAACTCGCTCATGCAATAAAAAAACCAAAATAACATCTGAAACTATGAATCGGACACAAAAAACACATAGAAAATTATAATGAACTCAAGAATTGTCAAAATCACAATCAAGCGTGTGATTCCTATCAAACCAACTCAGAATGACACCAAACATTGCAGACAAGTTACAAATGACAAAATAGACCTATTCTAAGTTCCGAAACTAAAATATGGACCAGAAACTATAAAGTCAACATACGATCAAATTTAGGATATTTTTCTAAACCTTTAAATTGTCAACTTTCGACAAAATAAGTCAAATCAACCTAGGGACCTTCGAATACAATTTCGAGCATACGCTTAAGTCTAAAATTACTATATGAACATATTGGGACCATCAAAATACCGTTCTAGGATCATTTTCACAAAAGTCAAACCTCGATCAACATTTCCAACTTAAGCTTCTAAACCAAGAATCAAAGGATCCAAATCATTCCAAAACTTCCCTGAAACAAATCCAACCATCTCCGAAAGTAATAAAACCGTAAATATACATACAGAAAGCTTCAAGAGAGGTAACAGGGCTAAAATACACAAAACTACCGGTCGGATCATTACATTCAATTCTTGCGTTTAACCACACTCCTTTAAACTTTCCTGTGGTTTTGGCTTTGGGTTATCACACCCCGCGATATTTGGTTCTTAGAAGAAAAAGAGGTGGACGGGGTGCAGAGTCCTCAAATGCGGAGATTGATCACAGAAGCGGAAGTACATATGCGCTTGGGGGTCCAGATATGCGATGTTAGCGGAGGTTAGGTATGTACACAGATGCGAAGGTATTTCTGCATCTGCGAGTCCGCAGATACGAGGGCGCGTTCGCAGGTGTGATTTATCATGACGTAACTAATTCCCACATCTGCGATGGTTTTCTCGCAGATGTAGTACCACAAAAGCGGGATTGGATTCGTAAATGCGAAATTGCTGGCAGAACATGTTATATTCGAGGGTTCAGTTATTTTATCATATTTTGAGTTGGGAGCTCAAATATGGACGATTTTTGAGGAGATTTTTACTACTTGGATTGGGTAGTATTTTTGACTAGGATTTGATTATTTTACATGATTCCTTTTTTGATTTTGGCATTTGAGTGATGAATCTAAAAGAAAAAATAGTGGGTTTTGTAACATATCTAAACTTGGTATTGAGGATAATTATTCCTAAGAACTATGTTATATGAGTTATTTTGGGATGACGCACGTGCTAGGTAACGGACGTGTGTGCGTGCACAGGGTATTCATGATCCAGTTAGTTCTTAGGTTATTATATGCTTTGTTTCGCTATCATGCTTCTTTAATATCATGTTTTCTTCATTTGTATGACTACGTGTGTTATTATTCATGATAAAAATCATGTATATGCTATCTACTTAATTTTTGAGACATGATAGGACTATTTTTGCCATGTTGAATTATTTGCCTTAGCCGTAGTCATACTGTCAAGTCATGATTGTTATATCTATGTCTTTGTGCACGTTTAATATGTTGCCTTATATGATATTGGTGTCCTTGTACGTGACACAAGTTTGAGTTGAATTTGTGGCACACGGTGATATTCCGTATTGTATAATTAGATTATGTTTCTTTGAGATGTTGGCATACAAAGACTTGAGCGAATTGATGATTGATGTGGGACATAGAGTCGTGTTTTGAGTTAGGTTGGATCGGGTTGCACGCCGCACAAATTGATATTTGGATCGGGTTGCAAGCCTTAATGAATTGATATTTGGATCGGGTTGCACGCCCCAACGGTTATATTAATTATTGATTAGCAATTGGGCCAAAATCCACCCCTCTAGAGTCTAATATTACAGTGAGCGTAGGCACAATTATATATATGTACTTTAGTGAGGGGCATTTGTCTGGCACCCGTACAGTGCTGAGTGATTGTATGTGTGATAGTGAGGGGCATTTGTGCTAGGTACCGTGGACATGTTAAGTGTGGGTGTAATTGATAGCTTCACTGTGATATTATTGACTTGGCATGTATATCTGACATGTTGGCATACAGATGTATTTTTCCTCATGCTAGATGGTAATGAAATATCTTACCTGATGTTGAAAGTTTGGAAAATCATAGTTTCCTTATTAAACTCATATTTTAGTGTTTCCTGAGAAAGATTTGGGATTTAGCTGTTATACTTGTAAAGCATGTCTAATTTTCGCATTTGTGAACGAGCTGAACATGATATCTTTTGAGTTATTTACTGTCACTGGCATTATCATATCCTGTGTTGTTATTGATTGTTGATGTTGGACACTAACCTTCTTCCGAGCTCGTCACTATTCTCAGCCCGAGTTTATGTTTGTTACTTATTGAGTATATGGGGTCGGTTATACTCATACTATGCACCTTGCGTGCAGATCTTGGAGTTGATGTTGTTGTATACGCGGGAGCTGGCGTTGAAGATGTACCCGTTTTCCGAATACAGCTACCACTTGTCTTTGGTAGTTTTAGAATCATATTCTATGTATGTATATTCCAAACAGATATTGTATTTATTTTCATATCAACTTTGTAAATTTAAGTTTTAGCGGCTCATTATTTGTACTACCAATCCTTGGGTTATTGTATGGAGATTTAGTTACTTCACTTATTGATCTCTTATTATTTTCATTAGAATTGTGTTAACTGTTATTTGGCTTATGTAACGGGTTGGGTTAAGTATCATCCCGACTAGGTAGATTTTCGATCTTGACACCATTTTGGTCATGTCAATCTTAGCGAAGATTGAGAAACTAAATGTTTTAAACTGAGAAGGAGCCATATGCTTGAGAATTGGGGTAATGTACCTCTATTAATGTTTTGTTTGAACATGTCTTATGCATGACATAGTGCGGGATTCAGTCGCATGGCTTTTCGTATGCATGTTCGTCTTAAGGGCTGTAGAATGTGAATCATTTGATTTACTTTGTGAAATTTCAGTCACAATGAGAAAATGAGAAATGAGTGGAAGAATTAATTATATCAAACTAATTCTGCATTTGGCCAGCTTAGGTGTCTCTGTAATATCATCAATTCATCGAAGACAAGGAAAATTGCAACATGCTGGTTTAGTATTCAACTAATTTTCTGATGAGTGCTATGTTTTAAAAATTTATTCTGCTCTAACACCCGCTTCAACAGCTATAAGCCAGCTTTAAAAGTTTTAAAAATGCTACTAAAATATTAAAACCAGCTTTGTAAACTATAAAAGCTATATAGTCGGGCTCCAATGCGGGTACCGAACACCGGGTGGGAAACCAAAAAAAAAACTTTAATGTGGGGTATTTGCCTGTGCCATGCACAACCATCTAGTTTTACTATATGTCAGCATATCTAATACCGGCATAACTAATGCAAGCATAACTAATACCAGCATTACTAATACACCATATTCAACATTATTCTTGTGCACCCTATCAAACGACTTTTAAGTGAAAACTTGAACTCATACTAATATTTCATCATTGTTGTTGGGCGCAAATTTGGATCCGAAAACTACTTTCTAAAAAAAAATACTCTTTACCTTTCACTTAAATGATATAGCTTGACAAAACATAAAATTTAAGAAAAAAGAAAAGTTTTGAAATATGTGGTCCAAAAAGCTTAAGGACAAATGACATTTGTGTGACTATAAAAAGTTTTTATTAAGAGAAAGTGAGTTAAATAAAAAGTTTAAATTTAAGTGGGCGTTTGGACATATGAATTGTAAAATTTCAGAAAAAGTAAATTTTATTTTGAAATGGAAATGGTATTTAAAAATTAGAATTGTGTTTGCACGTGAATATAATTATGTTTTATTTTTGAATTTTTGTGAGTTATAAAGTTTTGACAGACAGCTTTTTTTTTCTTTCTTTTCTCATAATGAAGATATTTTGGGTGTTATAGATAAACCTCCGTCCGATAAACCCTTCCTGGGACGAAGAGAGCAGTAAGAAATTACTCCAAACATAGAAGAGGAAGAAATGGACATGAGCGTGGAGATAGATATTGAACTTCTCTTTCAAACTCGATTGAATGCTGACGCAAAGTACTCACTTAATCCCAATGACACCGAGGTTCCTCTCCCTCTTTCTCCGCTCTAACTTTTATATTTGGGTCCTTTTTTTTTGTCAAGTTCAGTAGTGTTTGCACCAAACTGAATAAATTCTTTTATTTTAAAAAGGATTAAATAGTATAGAGTATAGAATTTGTAGCGAGGATTCAATCGAGGAAAGAAAATACAAATTGAATGTTAAAACATAATTCACTAAAACAGAATGCTGAATCTTAACTTTACAAAATTACATATAAGAATCGATTTCTAATTGCTTATCTCATAGAGTTAGATTGATTAAACTCGGTGCATAGACCAGGTGGAGGTAAGTATATTTCTTTTGTAATCTGCACTTGTTTTCTTCTGGTTATGAGCTAACAAATACCATGTATAAGGACTAGAGGATAGGAGAAGCCTCTTTTGGGACGTGAATTTATATTACCGAGCTTGATCAACTTGATTCTGGTGAAAATTTGCAGAATTTAACACAATGGGGCATGGCATTGCTACAGTTAGCACAATATGGAACCCTCCAGGACTCAAAGAAAATGGTTAAAGGTAATATTAGTCATTTGCCATCATAGATTTTTCCTTTGCTCACCTTTTCTTGTCGTGTTAGCTGAGGAATTTGTAAACTGAACTTGGAAATGCAGTACCTGTAATGGGATATTAGAAGACTTCATCTTGTGTGTATCCTTTCCTATCTTTATTAAGAGCATGCTCCTCGCACATGCAAGAAATGATTTATGCACATTTTAACACGTTCGCACATATGTTTGACAGGCGTAATGGTAAACACCAACTAGATATTTCTTGCAACCCTGGCCTACTAATAAAAAACGAGAACTTGCTCAACACTCAATGATTGTCGAGCACTTTTATGACTCTGATTCTTCAGGTTGATGTGATCCTGACAATTTAGTAGGGCTCCTTGATGGTGGGCTCCTTGATGGTGATGTAATGTTTAAATGTCAACCTTGGGCGCATGGATGTTGTACAGAACCTTTAATTTTTGACTCAGAAGCTCTGAGAGCTGCAAGTTCATTTCATGATGCATGGATAAATACTCATAAAAAAACAGCGCAATTAACTGTTTTCCATCTTGAAGAGGCTATTTCGAAGCTAGAGGAGATTGCAAAAATTGATTCACGAAAGCATGAAGCGTTGTGGCATCTTGGAAAAGCACACAGTGCTGAAGCATTTTTGACATCTGACTCCATTGAGGCACTGAATAACTTTGAGAAGGCAGATCGGTATTTTCAAAAAGCATTAGATGAGGTAGACTCCTCTTCCCCTCCCCACCCCAAAAAGAAAGTTTGAAAAGATAGGAAGAAGGTTATAGATCTTTATAGCTTTCAAGGCTACAACATTACTTCCGACACCTATCTTTGATGCTGGCATTTGTTCTTCAGGATCCCAGGAATGAGATGTACCGCAAATCTATGGAGACCAATGTTCAGGTATACAATGCGTATTACTGTCTTCTCCTTATCATGACATAAAACAATGTAATGGATAGTGGAACAAATTCAACTGTACAGGCAGACAACAACTTGGACACTTTTTTGATTGATTTCACTTGTATACTGTTCCATTTTTATGAAGTGTTAGCACTCATGGTTTTGAACTTTCTTTTGTCTCACTCAAATAATCAAATCAGATCGGCCATCGCTGAATCTTAAACTAGTGGGTGGTATATGAATCTGCTGTGCCTATCCATTCTATTTGGGCCCATGACTGTCCAATATTAATAATTTGTCTTTGAAGGTAGCTTAGGGATTCTATAAAACTAGAGCTTCTCTAAATCTCACAATTGTGCCTATGCAAACATACAAGTCTTAATAGACTTAGAGAAACTGTTAGCAAACTCCGGATCAAATTTAAGTGTAACTACAAGTAAACTTTTCTTCAACTTATTGGTAACACATATATGGATCGATCCTTTGCTCATTTTGTTTTCCATTCTTAACTAAGTCCCCATCAGTTCTGAGAGATTATAGGTTTTTTGAGATAACCTTGCTCCTTGTGGTATTATGCATACTTCATCCTTTTAACAGCTTCAATCATCGCATTGTCGTACCTATGGTTACATTGGATACAATCAGACCATCTTAGATGATATTCTCTCATTTATCTATGTGTGCTACTTGCATGCTCTACTGGATGTTATCATTTTATTTTACTCAAATGCATCACTAAAATGCAATTGCATAGTTTTCTATTGGTAAGACGAGGAAACATTAAGTAAGAAGAGAAGTTGTGTGTCATATGGCAGTAGAAACAAAATGTAAACCATCACTGATTCATTCTGTTTTTTATTCACTAGGGGTTCACTGTGCACATACTTGTTATGTCTGTTAACTTGAGATACAGTATGATGATTTTTGAATGGAACTTTTGTTACCTGCTAATGCCAGTCTTGCGTACATGCATCTGTCTGACATGTAAAATGGGAATTGATAGGTACACACAATTAAGCATCGCCTGAAGCAATGGGGCTTCAGTTTGATATCTACCTCTGGGATTTTAAAACTGACAGCAAGTTTTGGATGTAAAAAGCTTGTATTTGCTTAATGTTTAAGAATGGCATGGGACTAATGGTCTTTAAAGGTTGATTTCAGAATATCAATGATCTGCCGCTTTCTTCAAATATTTTGGTGGTGTCTATATATGTGTTGGAGGAAAGGGGTATTTGTATCTACACAAAATTGGAGGAATGCGAATGTAAACTGGGAGGGTGTTTATTTACTAGATTAATGTATTTTATCATTATTTATGAATGATGTGGTAAAAAAAATTTAGCCCATAGAACAGGCGATGTAAGGAGCGTAGGTTATTAGTTTTTTCCTCTTTTACTTAACCACTTGGGGACTTCCTTGCTTTAACCTGGAGTGGAGAATGTAGGATCATGATTAGATGGATTGCGTTGGCTTTAAAATGTTTGGGGATGTCAATATCTTTAGGAATCTCCTTAGTGAAGTCAAAGTATATATTAATTTATATGCAAATTATGGCTAACTTTTCAATGTTTCTCAGGTCTGTAGCTTCCCTAGCGGCGCTTGATTCATTTATTCTCATGGATGACGAAACTTCTCCTATGCCATTTTTTAGGCAATGCTATTGCATATGAAGCTCCAACTAGGGACGGTTCAGCAGGCTTCTGGTGGATCTTCAACTTCTTTCAATGCAAAGGTTGAATTTACTTTGCCTAGGGCTAAATATATATTTCCTTGATTATGATATTTTGAAAACAATTCATACATCGTATATTTTAAAGAAAATTCTTGCTAGAGAACTGATTCATGAACTGCGGCTTGATCTTCTGTGAGATTTACTTGACAATTTTATGGGGTTCAAAAGTTTGCATGGAAAACATCAGGCATATTTTTCTTTTTGTGTGTTATATAGACTAGCTCTTTCCTCCCAGTTTAAGACTTTAACTAAAGGTTGTCCAGCTGGACCGGCACAATTTATATGTCAGCGAAGCAAACACTTCATTAACAACAGTTTAGGCACCATTAGCATCTCTGTTGCTCTATTCAGTATATAAGGCTGCGTTGTCGAATAAAAATGGTTGTTGTCTATGTACTCCCCTCGTATAGCTTTTTATGCGAAATGAAATCCTTCCACCCTAAATAAGATAGGTATTTAGTAATAAGTAATTGCTGGCTGGGAGCACTGACTGTTAGTTAATTCACAAAGCTTTTGTCAGCCTCACCCTGAAAAAGGTTTTTTAATTTCTTTCCCTAAAGCTTTAGGTCCAGCCTAGGTCAAATCTTTTATCATTTTCTATTTGTTCGTCTGGGTTCAATCACGATATCATAAATAAGCTCTACCAAGGATTGCCAAACATTTGGTATCTGCAGGCTTTGAGTCAAGAGGGAAATAGAGGATAGAAGTGTTTCATGGAAAATACACATTCTCTTTCACTTGCCCTTCACTTTTAACAAAAGAACTGTTCCATTTTACCTTTTAGCTTTGGTGCTACTTCTATTGGACAAGTCATTTCATTTCCTCTTCTAGTGCCAATTTTTATCCTAGTTAGGGAACTTTCAATCATCTGATCGTTAGATTCTATATCTGGTTATTTTGTATTAGAGCTCTGCTATGAAGGCAAACCACGATCTGGTGTACGATGTCTTTGGGTGGGTACTTCTTGGTGCTGGAATTGTGGCATGGCTAGGAATGGAAAAATCTCAGGCCCATCTATGTACACCAAGGTAAGGAAAAACTCGGTTCTGGCCGCGTTCATGAAGTTCACTATATGGATAGAATTCTTTCTCATAGTTGGGATGTCCTATCGACTGCTGGCCTGTTTCTGTACTTGGATATCAGCCACAAGATAGATGACTTACTTTGTTAAAGGATCATTAGCTTTGCTCTTCTTCACTAATTTTGCTGGGCCATAGACCATGTAACTGTTGGTTTTCACTTTTAATGATTGGTCGTAGGCCTAGTGAATTAGACCGTGAATCTGCATAATGATGCAAATATTGTATTTCACGTAGGAAAGTTGCGTTTGTTCTGTTTATAAGCAAAACTTCATTACCATTTGGTTCTGTATTTTATTATAAATTCGGAACATTGATTGATCTGAATTGATCTATTTACTTATAGATAATAAACCACCAAGCTAAGGCATTACAAGCTGATACGGAGTTAAACAGAAAAGCTTGCGAGAGTTGTGCATTGTGCTGCTTAGCTGAGACCTAACGGTTAATTAGTTAGGATTAAAGAGTTTTAGGGATGTTTATTTAAGTCCCTTACCTTGTAAATTAGAAGTCCTTTTAATTACACATTGACCCCTTAATTTTCCTGTCTTATACCAATCGAGTCCTGTCCAGAACTGTACTGAGATGGCAGATTTAGTAGAATTATCCAGTTGTAATCCTTAGGTCATTTTCATGATTATACCTTATATAGGCTGTAATTACTCCCTTTTGGGTTATGAATGAAAAAGCCTCTTTACGTTTGCCCTAGTTTATCTTGCATTCTCTTTTCTTTTCCTTTTTTCTCTTCTTTTTTTCCATTTCGTCACTACAAAAAATCAGCCTAATTGCGGGGGTCAGTTAGAACACCCGCAAATTTCGTTAAATAGCAGGGGTTTACTTAACCGACACAATATAAGAAAATAGCGGCGGTTCAAAACCTACGCCATCTGCAAAAAAATTTGGGCGCTAACATTTCCCACACTTTTTTTTGCTTTGCTCATTTTTTTTTGGCTGAAACAAAATACAAATATTGAGAGATTAACAGCTCTGCCACTTTTCAATTCTCACTAGCGTATTTCAACAACTCAAGGGAATGGTCTCAATTTGAGAGATTAACTCAAATTTCATGCTTTTTTCTACTTTAATTTTCTTAAAATCAAAAGTTTTGTGTGAGTTTCTCATTTTGTTTGTAAGATTTGAACTCAATCCTCATTTTCCCCCTTTTTCCTTCGATTTTCCTCGCTTTTTCCCTATACAGTGGCATAAGCATCTCTATCCCTCACTCTGGCATAGCAATCGACATGTATCTTCAATTACATTAAGTTCTTCTGCCCTATTTTTGGTTTTGTGTAATGTTATTTCTACAAAATGGGTCTCTCATCTTCCCCATTATTGGGTTTGTATAATCTGTAATTTTTGTGTGTTTTTAAATTGCATGTGGCTTTAATTTTGTTTTTGCTGGTCAAACACTTGTTAATTTTAGGACCGCAATACCAAGTTGAGACGGTGTTCTTACGAGTTGGAGACCAGAAGATGATGATCCATGTGCCTGGAAGGGCGTGAAGTGTGACCTGAAGTCCAAGAGAGTTGTATCCTTGTAAGTATCTGCTGAAATATTGTTGAAATCACCTATAGTTGTGGTGATATTGTCTTTGCTCTAGCTATTGGGCAAATTAAATATTTTGGAAACAGATGTGTTTACAAAATGATCTACATTGGTAGGATATCACGTGTTATTAACTCCATTAGTTCTTTATCTCTGTTAATTTTGACTGATATAGGAGTTCTGTCTCGCTATAGGATCTTTGTTAGCTTGTAGAACTGATGTTCTTGTTCCGAAAATGAATATAGTGTTGAATTTAAGATTTTATTTTTATTTTCTTGCTTTTTTACTGCACTTTTGGGTAGGTATCTTGCTTTTGCACTGGGCTGATAATTTAACAACTATTTGATTACTATACTTGTCAAATGCTGCCCTCATTATCTTCACGTCAATATTTTTTTGAACATTTCTATAATGACAATTTTAAATGATTTTTACTTATACACATTGCTAAAGTTGAATATTTTAAGTAGCCAATTCCTTCCCAAAGCTTCTAACTCTGTTGGAACTATGTACAACTATTGAAGTTGCAAAGACTTGTGGAAAAGTTAAAGGATATTTTGTAACTCCATATGTTGTTTTCCTTTACATCATATCAATTAATTCTTTTCAAATCAATGATGGATCATACAAGAATACTAGTAGTTTCCCTTTAAAAGGACACCAACTGTCTTGAAGTTGCAAACTATCTGCTAGTAGTTATGTTACTCATTTGCTCATTGATTGCTTTTCTAGCTTTATTAGTATAAAAAATTATAAATAACTAGAGCAACAACAAAGAAAACTAAGATTTTTTATAGAGCTTGTGAAGGTACTTTCTCTCCTGTGCGGGAATATGTCTTGCAGCTTGCAAAGTTAAATGAGCAAATCATGAAATGGAGTAGTTGTATTAGAATGCTATCATTTGTTATGTTGAAATTTGAAATGGCCAACATGTGGTTTGAGATATATCCTCCATATGGCTACTAGATATTTGAGAAGTGAATGATAGCTTTTTGTGGATCTGCTTTGCCTGCTTATTAATTTATTCTATATGCTGCAGGATTCATTATTGAATTGCAGACATGCCAAGGTTCAAGAGTTTGCAGAAAAAGCAAAATTCAGATCAGGAGTCATCACAGCCAGCTCCAACTATTCAGACCGCATCTAGAAAGTCTTCCGGAAGCCATTGGACTGTAGAAGCAATACGTAAATACTTTTGACTATTAGTATATATTCAGCAGTCCTTGCTAACCCATTGTTCATCTCTTTCCCGACTTCATCTGATCTCTTTTCTTATACAGATTCAGAAAAAAATGTCAAAAAGCTCAAAGTGAAAGTCAAAGAAGTGCTAAATTTAACGTGCGAAGAACGTATTATAGTTGATTTTGATTACCTGGACGAACCATTTGGAGATGCACGCGGCCTACTTTCAGGCTTTTGTGGAGTTTTAGCGTGTGACTGCACTTTATTTCCAATCCACTGTGAGAAATGGTCGAGTTAACCAATGTCATACTTCAACAGCGTCTTCGATCAATTTATAAAGGTATAGGCTCTATATTCTTACAACTATATCACTGGTTTTTTTTTTTGGAGAAGGACAACTATATCTTTATTTTTCCTTTGAACTTTATATTTGCATGCAATAGATATGCTAACCAATATTTTATTCTTGAAGCCCAAGTTCTTCTTTAAGACAACTGAGTCAGTTGCGCACTAACATGCTTATAAATCTATTGGAAAGAAATGGGCTGCAAATAATCTTAACTTGTGGAGTGCATCTGAAGACCCACTTAAAAGTAGAGCTGAGATTATTGATAATGTGGCGGATGGAATTCCGCTGGATCAATGGATTTCTTTTGTTGATTATCAATATAAAGATTCAACAAAGGTACTTATGTAACTGCTTCTACTAGTCTTTGTAATTATATTATTATTTGTTCTTCTAATTGAGTTTCAAGTATATTTTAATAAGGAAATGCAGAAAAGAAATGCTGAAAGTAGAAAAAAGTAGACGATTCCACACACAGCTTCAAGACTCAACCACGTTCCACAAAAACACTAATACAACATGTCCAAATGTCCCAATGATGTTGCAGCTATGTTATTAACTTTGTACAGTCAAAATGATGCTTACTAACAAATAGCAAATGATCATTTTATGTTGCCTTATTATTTAGGTGGAAAAATATAAAAGTATATTATCAATTTGTCATTATGTATTGGGCTTTAGAGAAACATAAACTTTTTCTGTGAATAAAGAAGGTTGGAAATTGCCATTGCATTTTCTTTCTGTAAATTTTCACATTGTAGACGGCAAAGATCTCTTTCCACATGGGCATAGAATCCATAAATCTTTAGGACTATGGGATAACAGAATCACTAAGAAGCCATATGCATGGTCTTTGTGTATGGATCTGTAAGGTACACTAGACAAATGCATTCATGGTGGTCTAATTGTGACAATGAATTTTGTATGTGTAGGAAAAAAATGAGTTAGTTTTGAGCCAAAGCACCATGGATGAGTCTCAGATTTCGCCAAATGATGCCATTGATAAGGTGCTAGGAAAAGAGCACTCTGGAAGTGTAAGGGTAAGGTGTTTGGGATTTGGACATGTCTCCAGTAGAGTTTTTAAACAAGTAAGACCTCGTTTTGGTGGTACAAGTGTTTCAAGTAGTGAAGGTTCATGTTCGTCCCAATGTCAACAGAACCATAATCAAATGATGAATGCTTTGAAGGCATATATGATAATGAAAGAAGGGACAATACCTGAACAGTTTGCGGGATTCTTTGTTTCTACTTCAACGATTTCTCCTACAACAGTAAGTAAAGTTCTTCAATTTTTTCTTACTTAGATTTGTCTGTTTGCAAAGATAGAGTGACTTAGGTTAGTACTATTTTTGTAGAGCCTAGAGTTACTGCAATTTCTGATTTGGGCATGATTTTTTTAAAATTAGGAGCATAATGCAATATAAAATTAACCTTTTATTTGGTCATGTTTATTAATTGCTAGTGATTATTAGTTTTACGGACTTGTATACATTACCAATACTCTTTGACTTCTCTAACAAAGTATATCTGCACAAACATTTCTTTTCTCAGTCCAATAAAGAAAAGTAAAACTTCAATGTTAGTATATATTTGAGTTTAAAGTACAAAGGAAGCTTGAAGAGTTACACTTATTTACTTATAGTACTTAGTGAACCTAGAGTTCTTGCAATGTCTGATTCTTGCATGATTTTTATACTTTGCTTTTTCTTTTTATGCAGCCAAGTGATGCGGGCAGTGGACCCCTTTCGCCCTTGGACCCAAGAAGATCATGCGGTGGTAGTAATTCTAGTGACGACCGTTGATTTTATTGTAATTGTCTTAGATAATTAATTGTGACAATATATTTGTGTGGTTGGAGCATATGCTAGAATGTTGAAGTGATTTAATTTTTGAGTCTAATGATGCTACTTAATGTTGACAATTTAGTTTTAAAGACTAATGATATTGTATGACAATATTTTATAGTTTTACGATATGTTATTGATTTCTCTTAACTTTAAAATATTTTTTCTTTGCTTTGATTATGATTTACACTTTATTCATTAATATATGAATTAAAATAATTCAATGAATTGCCGAGGTTATGACTGCCATGAGCTTTAAATATAAGCTAATAAAAAAAACTTTTAAAATTATTTTGCGGAGGTTTTAGACCGCCGCAATTCGTAATCGAAAATTATTCTAAGAAGATTTAATTTTAGATTTGCAGGGGTCAACCGCCGCAATTTACCCGCCGCTACGTATTTCTGGCGGTCAGCAAAAAATTGCCGCAAATTGATTGCGACGAATGTTATTATGGGGCTTTTGACGACTGTCGCAACAACATATTGCGGGGGTTTCCAACCGTCGCAAACCTTAAAATTAACCCCCGCAATTAGGCTATTTTTTTGTAGTGTATCACTGTTCCATTGCCCTGCGTATCAGTGGTATCAGAGCAATTCTTGGCTCTGTGGATAACCATGAGAGATAACAACAGCAATGTTATGGAGGTGCTTAAAAAAATCTCACTTGACATGTCAAGCTTCACAGCTAGACAAGATCTGCTCGAGGCAAATCAAGAGCAGAGTAACAAGAATCAGGAGGAAGCTTTGAGTGAGCTCATAAAGGTGCTCAATGAAGTTATTCATGGAGGGAAGATGCCAGAACGTGACAAATCTGTGTCTCAAGGTGGAGGTGAGCTCTATTCTCCAAACGATAAACCCTTTGATTTTGGTGATTTAGCTTCTCCTAGCTCCCATGGAGTTAATATATCAGCCCTACCTGCAAACCTTCCTGCTGCTATGGTAGGATTATTCAGTTTGTTAAGGGTAGTAAGAACTTCAAGTGGCTCATGCAAGGGGTTCTTTTCCAAGATGATTTCCTAGTACTCCCTATAGGCAGCTGTGATGTTGTGTTGGGAGTTCAATGGCTGTGCAAGTTAGGTGACATTAAGGTTAAATTTAAGAAATTTTTCATGCACTTCCTCTATCAAGGGAAGTCTGTTACCCTGCAGGGCATTTATCTTTCATTTAAAATTGTTGATGCCAAGGCCTTACACAACATCTATGTGGATACTGCCCAAATTTTCATGATCAAGGTCTGTCCTACCACCATGTCTCTAGTTGCAAACTCTCAGAAACTAGAAGACATTCCTGTTTCCATCCAAAAATTACTCACTGACTACAACACCGTTTTCCAAGAACCCAAAAACTTACCTACTTCAAGAGAAGTGTTTGACCATCACATACCATTGATTGAAGGTAGTGGCCCTATCAAATTCTAGGCCCTATAGGTACTCCCCAATATAAAAAAATATGATAGAAGACATGGTTAAGGAGATGATGGCACAAGGGATCATCCAGTATAGCTCTAGTTCCTATGCTTCACCTGTGGTCTTAGTTGGGAAAAAAGATGGTTCATGGAGACTCTGTGTGGATTATAGAACTTTAAACAAGGTTACTATTAAGGATAAATTTTCCATACCTATCTTTGAGGAGTTATTGGATGAGCTGGGAGGGTCAAAAGTTTATTCAAAGATAGATCTCAGGGCAGGCTATCACCAAATTAGAATGACCCCTTCTGATGTGCACAAAACAGCCTTTAAAATACATTCAGGACACTATGAATACTTGGTCATGCCCTTTGGTTTAACCAATGCCCCTTCTAGCTTTCAAGGGCCCATGAATCATATTTTTCAAGAATATTTGAGAAAGTTTATCTTAGTGTTCTTTGATGATATTCTAGTGTTCAGCAAGATATTAGATGAACATGAACAACACCTCAGACTTACCTTTGACTTGTTGATACAACACCATTTTTTTGCTAAGGGAAGTAAGTGTGTTTTTGCATCAACTAGGATTGAGTACTTGGGACATTTTATCTCGGTTGAAATAGTGGCAACTGACCCCAAAAAGATTGAGGCAATCCAAGGGTGGCCTGAACCTGCTAATATCAAAAAACTAAGGGGATTTTTGGGGTTAGCCGGGTACTACAGAAGGTTCATTAAGGGTTATAGAGTTATTAGCAAATCACTCACTGACTTACTCAAGAAGGATAGTTTCAAGTGGTTTTTACAAGCTACTTCAGCCTTTGAAAACCTTAAGAGGGCTCTCACTTATGCACCAGTGCTAGTATTACCTAACTTCTCTACACTTTTTGTAGTAGAAACTGATGCTTGCAGCAATGGCATTGGTGCAGTTTTGATGCAAAGAGGTCAACCAATAGCTTACTTGAGTAAGGGTCTATCACCTCAGCATCAGACATTGTCAGTGTATGACAAGGAACTCTTGGCATTGGTTATGACTGTCAACAAATGGGCTCAATACTTGACTGGTAGACCCTTCATAGTGAAGACTGGCCAAAAAGCTTTAAAGTTCCTTATTGAACAGAAGTTGCATACAGGATCACAATTGAAATGGATAGCAAAGCTGATGCAATATGATTTCATAATTGAGTACAAGAAGGGTAAGGAAAACAAGGTGGCTGATGCCTTGTCTAGACTACCTGCAGCTGAACTAGCTGCCTTTACCTTATCTTATATTCAATTTGATTTGCTTAGTATGATCAATCAGAGTTGGAACTTAGACCCAGATCTGGTTGCCTTAACTTAGTCCTTAAAAGGAGGTACAGGGTTACACCTACATTCATGACCAAATCAGGAGACATGACTGTGAGCACGTGATTTTGCCTTACGAAAAATTGCTCCAAAATAAATCAAAATAAATTTCTTTTACTGTATAATTTGTGAATTTGAGTGGTGTTAAATATTTGTGTTATGTCCGTAAATGTTTATTTTTGTCATAATAAAATAAAAATAAAATAAGATACATATTGCATGCATATAGGATTTAATTATGCATTTAAGAGATAATTTAAATAAAATCACAAAAAAAAAATATATGCATTCGTTCTATTTTTTTAAACTGTGTGATTAATGTTTTGACTATGTGTTAAATAGTTGTTATGAAGTAATTAATATTTTTATGTAAGGTTAAAAAATTGTTTTATAATTTTATTAGGATTTTTTTTATTAATAATAAAATCAGAAAATAAAAATATACAAGTGTAAAGATTGGACCTGGATTAAAATCCAGGCCCAAATCAATTTACCCCC